ATATATGTATACTCTAAGTCTTTCAAGATGCTCTGTGATCTTGTTGCTGGCACCAGCCCCAGAGTGACCCAAGGAGGAGCTGCATGATACACGTTTCCCCAAAGTGCTGTCATCCACACTGTTCAGTTTGCCCTCCCAGTGCTCTCTTGCATGTTTGGTTCCTGGATCACATGTTCATCTTGACACTTAAGAGTACTTTTTCATTATCAGCAGGCAGGAGCTCACATGAGAACAGAGGTGTTTAATGGGGTGGCTGCAAAACCACAAGGCAGGTTATCAAATTCATTTGATATTTATGTTCAGGTGAGCTCTTCCATTAGGAGATAGTGTGGTTCTTCACCAGCTCTGATGCTCTGGAGCTGCACTTGCCTTCTCCTGCATGATGGGAGTTGGTGAGGGGTTTGCAGTGCCTCTCATGAAACCTTTCCTTTAGCAAATGCAAGTCTTCACCTTGTGCAGTCAGAGGTGAACTGGAGATGTTGGTTTGCTGGTGATGATCTTCATTTGCTGACTTGTTTCCATAGCTTTTGAATTCCAGGAACAACCTCATGAAGTAGAAGCTTTAATTGGGTTCAGTTCAGGCTCATGCCTTGTGTAAAATTTGCTTTTAAGTTGAGGAGCAGGAGTCTTAATAAATGACCTTTTAAATCTTATTTTGATTTTATTCAGGTGTAGTAGTGTGCTCATTAATAAAGATCCTGCAATAGGTCTCCCATTACATCCTATTTAATTAACAAAAAAGCTGTAAGATTTATTGGATGTTTTCAAAATGAAAATGGGAGTTTTTAATAGATTCTCTGATTAAGAAATACTGTTCTGCATACATGATGGTGCCCTGAAAAATTATCACTTAACAGCTATAGATAAAGTACTGTTCTGAGACAAGCAAAACTTGCTTCTTCCCTCACCCCTCTCAGGCTAGAGCTTGTGATGATCTTACCTTAAGGAAGAGGTTTAATCTCCTCTTGCAGGAAGGGGAGGCTGTTAAGGAAAGGTTTCACCTGTTGTGTATTTAATATATCCAATCTTTTGTTTAAAAGGCATCGTACATGAGGCAAAAGAAAGATGCTTACTTTGCTGATGGACAAAGGAAAAAGGACTGGCATAACAAAGAAGCTATAAGGAGGGACTCTGAGCGTGTAGGTAGGTAAGATTGCTATAAAAATGTTGTAATACAGACTGTAATTTGATTTTATTTTGTAGGCTGAGTGTAGAGCAACATGTTCAACTTCAGGGTCAAGATGGTGTTCTTGACATGATGCAGCAGTTAAAGGCAGTTAATCTGTAACTGTGTTAATCCCAATTAAACTCCTTTTCCCCCAATTCCATAATAATCATTTTGAGGTGAAAAATGTATCAGTAACATCTCAGTGGGTTTTGTGACACATGCAGTGTTGCTTTCTTAAGAACTTCAAAAAATAATTTAAAAAAAAAGGTGTACATGTGCTTCTCCTGAAAATGGGAGATCCAGAAAGGAATAGAGATAATAAGAAAGATCTTTGGACTATTGCATTCATGCAGGTTTTGTTCCATGCTTCTTGCAGCACAAGTCAGGGTCCAGTTTGAAGGTCACAGCTTTACACTGGTGTGCCTGCAAGAGCTCAGTTTGGAAATACACATATCCATCTGTGCTGGAAAAAACAACAGTGCTGAGGTACTCAAACCATGCAGATTCTCCCTTCAGGGAAACAAAAAATGTTCTGTAGATCCTCCACAGCATTGCCATAGCCCTTTTGTCTGTTTGTGGTGTTAGAAGGAAGACTTTTACCTTGTACAATTTGCACAGGTGAGTGGTTTGTAGCAAAACTGCTTCTGAAATAAAACTGATAGATTGACATGGTTCAACCAGTGCTAAATATGACACAGAGCACAAAGCCAGTGAAGGAATTTTCAAAGGGCTATAAGATGCTCTTCTTTTGATATATGGATTAGTTTCTGGCCAGTTAAGCACCAATTAGTAGTAATGATGCATATTTACTTTCTGTCTGTCCCCAGGAAATGGAGAACAGGGAAAACCTTACCCAATGACTGATGCAGAGCGAGTGGACCAGGCGTACAGGGAAAATGGCTTTAATATCTTTGTGAGTGATAAAATTTCTCTGAATCGTTCCCTTCCAGACATCAGACATCCTAAGTGAGTATACACTTTGCATTTCTATGAGTGAAAGTTTACCAGCCCTAAATTTGCCACGTCTGCAGGAGTGTGTTCTTTTTTTATTATGGATTCTCATACCTTTGTTCATCAAATACAATCCTCTCACAGCTGAGCCCTGCTCTCTCCTTAATAAAGGACAGTGTGTAGTAATTGCAGTGGGAAATAGAGTGGACCAAATCTGGAGAGGAAAAAAAAAGAAATCCCCTTTTGATTCCAAATGGCTTAAAATTACCCCAAACTTGCAACCCTGCGCAGAAGAGATCTTGAACTTAACCCAGAGATGACTACATCCTTCACCTCTTGCAATGTGACAGTTCAGTTCCTGAGCCACCTGACAGAGCCAACAGCTTTTAGCAACTAATGAGGTGGAGCTATTTCCTTCTGTAGTGAAAGTGGTGTAAATGTCTAACTTGGCTGACAAGTGCCCTAAGTGCAGTCAGGTGATGACATTGTCACTAAATGCTCTGTCCAGTTCTTGGACAGAGGTTTGGCCCCTAGCTGGAATTGCTCATGAAATGCTCAAGGAGCAGAACAGGGTGTGAGTAGCTCCACTCAGCTGTGAAGAGTTTTATCAGATTTATGGATTATTTTCTTGGACATCTTCCTCAAAATCAGCCTCATCAGGGTTTACAAGTAGAAACTAGTTCCAGTTGAATGCTGACTTTCAAGTTCATCTGGTTTTGAACATTATCCTTTAGGATGGTGTCAGACTGGAATTTGTGCAAACCAGAAGGAGTTTTTCATTAGCAAAAGTGCTTCAAATACACTGGTTTGACATCCTTTTCAATATATACTCATAAACCAGAGCACTGAGTATAGCTCCATAAATATTTCAGCATGCAGCTGAAATGTTTAAACATAGAGATAAATCAGGTAACTGAAGATGTTTGATGATAAGCCCATACTCAAGTTTTAGGAAATACAGTTTGAGTTTACTAACCTAAATTCTACCTGGCCTCTATTGACAGGGGCTGCCTTGGGCTCTGAGAACTTAAACATCAGACAGTGCCAGTATTTCCTTACCTGAGGATTTAATATTCCTTATATTCCCCATTGTTTCCTGAAATTGCCAACTATATGTTGCCAATTCTGCTATTTTAACTTCTTTTAAATGTAGAACTTTTGACTCCAGCCCCAGTTAAAATTAGGAAGTGAAGCATCTGCTTAAGCTGTGATTAATGATGCTGCTGCAGTGGTTTGCTCGTTGCTTGACACATCCTTTCCCTCAGTGTAGGAAGCTGTAATTGTAGAGGCCTCGAGGAGAGGATAAACAGCATGTGCATAGTGGATGCTGAGATTAGCTGGGCAGGGAGCAGGGTTACCTGTAGTGGTGATATGCAGCAAAGGAATTCACAACTGGAAAGATCTGCTGTGCATTCTCTGTGCCCATTAAAAAAGAAACACCTGAAATGGTGTGGTTTGTGTTATTTGGGAGGTTGATGAGGGCAATATATAACAAAGTTAGGCTCAGACCTAGCCATAAAGTCACAAGTCCATAAAGAGCATTCCAGAAAGAAGGGAGCTGTTTGTTTTAGAACCTGAGATAGCAGAGACTTTGGAGATGTGCCCACAGACAGCAGGGAGTGTAAGGAGAAGGTGAACTGGGGAAAAATGCAGCATGTGCTGTCCTGAGCTCTGGGGGCACAGCTGGGATTCTCCCCAGCAGCTCTCCTGGGTGGGGAAGGCCAAAGAAGCAGTCAATGTGTGAGACTTTTATATGTCAAACAATGTGTCACCTCTGCTTTCTGTTAACTGTGGGACTCAAGGAGCTGGGGACAGCATGTACTGGATCTGCCTGGTGCACACATACAATTGTTTCAACAGTCGTCTTCCCCTGATAACATTTTCTTTAAGTGCCTCTGAGGTTTTTAATATTAAATACTAATTTTGCAGGTCTTGTAAAGCAATTGTAGATGTGGTAGCTGGAGGGAAACAATTTTTCTCCATGCTTAATGGTTAAACTTAATAGCTAAAGTTTCCCACTTGTTAAAGTTAGTCAGAAAACGAGAATTCAAGTTTTAAGAAGAGTCAGAAGATATTCAAGGGCTCTTGGTTCATATTGGAAGAGAATTACAGCCAGTAGCTATCTCAGAAGAAGGTTAAGATGGCAGTGCCAAGGGCTGGATGAAAGCAGCCCATGCAGCTTCAGTTTGCATCTTGCATCTGTGCATTGCAGACACAGCCTGCAAGCTCTTGGCAGCACCCCAAGACAATTCATTACACCCAGAATAAGCTACTGTCCTCTCACACGGGCACCAGAGTAACTTCCTGTAGCCACAGATGTATTGAGCTTGTATAACATAGGTGGGAAAGGTACCAGGAAAAAGCTGCCACTGCCAGAGCTGCTTTCATTCCTGTCTGTCCTTCCGGGGAGCTGGGAAGGAATTGCTGTGTGCGTGCATTGAATTGTGCATGTGGTGACAGCCTCACTGAGGCCTGGCAGGACAGAGTGTGCAGCTCAGCTCTGGTGGCTGTGTAAGAGGTGTGGTCTTGTGGCAGGACAGGGAGCAGAGTGACCTCCCTCCCCTGCTCCTGGACAGAGGGCTGCCTGCCCAGCTGGCACTGTCATCAGCACACTCCAGGACCTCCATTCCCACAGCCACCTCTGGTTTGTGCTGGACACGTGGGGTTCAAGGAATGGCATATGTTTTTGACCCATAATGAACTGGGTATTTTTAACTATGATTGCTTACTGTGTGGCCTTAGGTGTTACCTGTTCAAACTCCACTTAGGGCCACATGTGCAGGAATGTAAACACTGCACTTTCCTTTAAAACCAGCTTCAGCACCTAATAAATCCCCCTGACTCTGTGTGTTGCTAAGTGTCACTGACCATTAACACTCCCCACTTCATATGTTTGGGTTTTTTTTCTCCTTTTGGCCATGTAGACTAGATCAGGTCAACACTGGTTTGTTAAGTCCTGGAAGTTGGTGGGTTTTTCCAGGCGCTTTGCATCAATTTGAGGTGTAAAGAATGAACTTAACTACTTGATGGTAACTAATATGGAAATGCTGATGGTTTTTGGCAGCACCTTTTGACTTGCTCTATCTGTGTCCAGCTGCAAGAATAAGCTGTACCTGGAGAAGCTCCCAAACACTAGTGTGATAATCCCATTCCACAACGAAGGATGGTCCTCCCTCCTGCGGACAGTGCACAGCGTCCTGAACCGCCCCCCCCCCGAGCTGATAGCAGAGATAGTGCTGGTGGATGACTTCAGTGACAGAGGTATGATGCTTTGTGTGTGACATCTCCACCCTGTTCCCCTACCTAAGAGATCAATGAACTTGCACATATGTGTATAATGACTTGACCTTTTAAATTTGCCAGCAGCAGAGCTGAGGTGAATCTTGCTCTAGTACGTTTGAAAGCAAAAATACTCAAGTTCCATGTTCAGGGTGTGCTGGTTTAGCTGCTGATGGCATGGGCTGTCCTGTGTTTTGGGTGCTGTGAAAAAACAGGGAAGTTGGTTTTAATATTCTGCTAAGGGCCTGTGTAGCTCTTAACATTAACCCCAGGGTTAAATGTTTGATGCTTGGAATAAAGAAAAGAAGACGAGGGAATAGCTCACTCCTTTCCTCCTGTTTTTTAGTGGAGTTTTGTTTTTTTCCTGGACACAGAAAATGCGAAAGAATCCTTGATAAAAGGTTTGGTTTACCTTTCTCCTGAATTTTGTGCTCCTGAAAAGTAAATCTGCAGCATCCTGAACTTTGCTCTCACTCGCTTGGAACTTCACTCCTTGTTTTGTACTGCGTTGCCACGAGTAGTCACTTTGGATTGGGTTGAAGTGCTATAAGCAAAGGTGTGGAGTCACTGGCACAACACATCACCACAAATGGAACAACCACTTGTCATTGCAGCTGCAGTGTGTACGTGTAGTTGCTGAATCTACTTGTGCTGGAGCAGAAGGGCAAGAGATCTTTTTCTCTGAACCATTTAAATGCTACATGATGCAAATTAAGCTTCATCTTGTTATTTTGCACTCGTGCTAGAAAAAGGCAAGCAAAGGAGGAATGAATACCTCTGTGACATAGACATGGCATAGCTGGAGAGATCCTATGCAAAGTCCTCTGAAGTAACTGGTGTTCTGTGTTGAAGAGGGCACAGTGACTTTAAGGAGTTTATGGTCAGATCTAGCAACTCTATTTTCTTGTTAAAAGTTGCTGAGACTATTTAGCTTTATGAGCTGCAGAGTTCAAGTGTCTGGCACTGATATTAGTCAACTGAGAGAAAAGAGCTCTCTATACAGATACTGAAGGATACGCCTCCAAATAATGTGACAGGTAGGAAGCTCCTAAATGAGCTTGGAAAGATGCTTGTGAGTATTCAGTGTTCTGACCTATACTGACTTTCAAATAAGCACTACCCAACAGCTATAGTGTTTGTTCTAAAGTACTGCTCTAATTAGTTTGCAAGCAAGCCATGCTGGTTTGAACAAATCAATGTTATATGAAATAAGATTTTCTTTAGAGGATTTTCAGGCTAAGCTGAGGAGAAGAAAAATCCACTCTCCTAACAAGGTCTCTCTATTGCTACTCAGTCTAGAAGCAAATTAGACAAGCTCATGCTGTAAACACAGCTGAATTGTACAAATGGATTCCTTCTCAGAGAAATGGAAGTAATGAAATCTGTTTTCCTTGTTCCCTAAATATGTCCTTCTGACCAGGCAAAAGAGAGCCCTCCTGGCTCTCCCACGCCTGCTCTTCCTCTGCCTGTATCTATGCTGTTTGTCCAGCTCACTCATGCTCTGGTCCCTCTGCCTCTGAGGAGGTGCAAACTCTTCTGTCAGTCGTCCTTCTTTCATACAAAGGTTGCAAGAAGTAGCTGAGATGAATTCATGTGCAGCATCTATTTATAGATGGATATAAAAGACTTCTAGTGCTGGACAGTGAGCTGAATTGTTGAGGGAAGAAAATGACACAGGCAAAGAAAGTGCTAATAAAAAGCTGCTGGGGCTTTTTTTATTTGGAGGTTTCTTGTTTTGGTTTGGTTTTTTTCTGTTGGTTTGGGGTTTGGTTTTTTAACCAGTATTTTCCTGCTAGCGCATTTGATTTATGCACATTGGGACAATTATTGGTGAGGGTGAGACATTTTTTCTTCAGTGCTGTCAGTTCTGTATCTGCATTTTTTCAGCAGTCACTGTTCTTCCTATACCACACTGGGGTTGACTTCCACATCCCTCCCTGAGTCATCCTTAGTCTTCAGGAGACTGTTAAGTCCTAAACACAAGATTTTGACTTGAAAGGCTGCTGGTTACTGATTTCTGGTTGTGACTTATCCATTGTATTTCTTAAACAAAAGGCAAACCAGAACAACAAACACTTCAACCCAATAACTGAGAGTTGATAACTTAATGCACCAAACTGAACTTCATGAATGAGAAAAAGCTCCAAGAAAGCTTTTACTTCACATGTTTGAAAGGGCACATTCTTGGATTTGGATTGTTAAGCCACTGCTCTGGTTATCTGTTCCTTATGATTAAACTGGGCAGATAATAAAACCCCAGTGTCCAAGCTGATGATCATCATCGCTGTGCCACAGAACTGGTGAGCAGTAAAAAGAATAAGATTTCTTGATTTTTCTTTGCAAATCATAAATGTTTAGTCCTCTGCATCATCCTCAAGATGAAATGCCGTGCCCCTGTTTCAAATGCTCATCCTACAGATTTGTAACCGCATCTTTCTCTTAAAATTATGGAATTGCTGTTGGATGTAGTGATAGTAGAGGCCACATCTGAGATCAGACGGGCATAGTATGAACAGTAAATGTCAGCTTCTTCCCCAAAGAGATCAGTAAATAGCCACCATAAACTCCAGTGAAAAGCAGAAGATGGAAAGGATAATCACTCAATAAAAATCTCTTATTAGTATTTTACCAAGAGGTTACCCTGCCAAGATAAAGTATCTGATATCTCTGCTGTACCTCACCGTGGCCTTTCGCTCCAGGGTTGTCCAAACAGACCTCTACACTTTAATAACTCTTAAAAGACTAACCTTCAACAACTTGGCCTTGCCTGGCAAGGAGACTCTATCTCCCTCACCAGCATTTCTTGTGTACCGACCTGTGTGGGGTTAAATGCTCTGGGTTTTGCCAAGCTGCCCTTGAGGTGCTGTTAGCATTGCTCTCTTGTTCTCCTGTAGGACTGCTTTCTGGGGGTGGTGATGTTGGTGCCAATCCATCAGCCTCTTTCATCCCTTTATCTCCTCTTTCATCCCTTTATCTCCCACGTGGTGAATCTTTGCTTCACATGAAGTAAAGACGACTCTGGTAATAATAGAAATAGGAAGTGTGGAAACCTGCCTGCTGCACACAGCAGTGTTTTTCCAGCCAGATGTTACTTTCATATGGTTTGCATCTGGTTTTAAGGCTGAGAGTAAGGAATTTTTGGTGTGTCTATGAAGAGGGTTGAGCAGATGGCTAACAAAGTGACAGGAGAGTGAAGACAGATTTCTGGGTTAGTTGGTGGCTGCTGTGGTCTGCAGCAAACCTGAGGGGCAGCTGTGTGGCATTGCATTATTGGAGCTCTTGGACAGATGAATCATCATCTGGAAGTGTCAGCAGCCGTTTATTTCTTAATTTGTTTGAGAGAGACAATTCTGTGACCTTTAGCAAAAAAACATTTTTCATCCAAAAAACGCTGTCCTGGTGACAGCAAATCTCAACAGTGAGCAGCAAAAGCTTTATGAGTTGTGTTTTTGAAATGTTTTCTTTGCTTTGTATTTGAAAAGTCAAAATGTGCTGAAGCAGCTTGCTGTCTGGATTTTTTTTTTCATGCCTGCAGTATAATGCAAATGATCAAAATCTAAAAAAAGGCTTGAGCCTTACTTCACACAGATTTCTTGCTGGATTCCACATCAGCCAGACCATGTCACCTCTAGCAGCTCTTTCCTGACTCTTGAATCTTTCTGGGGATTCCCTTGGTAGGGTAGTTTGGCTTAAAAGAAGCTGTTTTCCAGCATATGCCATTGGTCACAACAGAGTAAACATTGCTATTTTTTACTTTCTCTATTAGTAGTTCTGTTACCAACATAGCATTGCCATTAAGACTGCTGTAATGCTTTTCTTTCCCCACAAACTCAGCTGAGATATCAGTGATATAAGAACTTCTTCCCCAGCCATAAACATTTCAAAACAATTGCAGGGATTTAATGTGCAGAAGAATATAAGTTATTGAAGAGGGAGGCACCAATTCAGCAGACTCTTGTTGGAGAGTAAGAATTAACCCACTCAGCATTGACTGCTGCTTCCTCCATGGTACAGAGAACTGCTAGAGACCCACAGAGTGACCTCCATGGACTTGATTAACCTCAGCCATTGCAGGGTGATCCAAAATAACATCTGCCCTTCTCGGATAAGCAGAAATCAGGATGCAATACATGCAAATTGTGACTTTAGAATTCCTGATCATAAAGCCTTGTAGCTGTGGCAGTCCTGTGTGGATTTGTGGCTTCACTTTTAATTTCTATAGCTATTCTTTAGGTCTGATCTCAGTTAAATTAGGCCTTTTCATATGCTGGCTTGCAGGGTACTAATTATATCCCTCTGAGCTTGTTTTTAGCAGAATGGCCCTAAGTAAACTAAAATGTTTTGTTCATGTATATTAGTTTCCTCCTGGGGACTGTCATGAGAAATTTGTTTGCTTTTTGATTATCTAATTACCATGCTGCTGAGTGGGAAGTGGGTTCTATTATATCATAAAAGTGGGAGGAGAGAAGTGGAATTGCAGGTCAGTTTGTAACACTGCAGGTTTTGGGTCAGTCTGATGGCATTTTTGTTATTGAGTGCAGACAAGGAGGAACAGACAGGCAGTTCATGGTTCTTCAGGGTCTCCTTCAGTCCCTACACCTGCAATCTGAATTGGCTGTGGTGAGAAATGGAGCTGTTCATCTCTAGTGTCTGTCGTGTACAAAATGAATTGTTGGTCTCTGTCTGATTCTTGTAGCTTGTGGACACCTCTGGCGTATAAGCTGTCTCAGTGTTGGTGTGAGCAAAGGTAAAGCTGTGCTCTGTCTCTCACTAATAAATGAACACCCTTAAGCTGAAGGAGCAGAGGATGGCACATTTTTTCTTTGCAGGATGCTTGTCTGAATGTTTCACCTGATAGACCTGATTTGGTAGGTCTGTAGAGCAGAGGAACATCAGGTACTGCTGCTGAAAGGCAGAAGGCAAACTCTCTGATTTGGAGGAGAGGTCTTTCAGGTGCAGGCTGGACTGGGACATGTGCAGAA